GGAGAACAGGACAACGGTTTTTGTTTGTTTGTTTTGGGTGGAGGAATGGGACACAAGGAGAGGTTCAGTTTAAAAATTTCAGTTTACAGTCCTCCCTGGAAGCTGCAGGGGAGTGCTTAAACAAAGACCAGTTGAATTGAGCAGAGCTTGACCACAGTTTTTCTTCCACCCTGAAAAGGGTAAGTCCAGGTAACCTGACATTACCATAACAGAGACCACTATTTTTAATTGGTCAGATTTCCACAGCCTTCTTTCCCCCCCCCCCCCCCCAATCTACACCAGCTTCTGTTAAAAGTGGAATTCCCCCTTTCGGTGAAATACTTGGTGAAAACCAAAATGTTGATATCAAGTGCATTTAAAGAATGCATGTTTCCTTATGTTAGTTAATACATTCAGTGCTTAACCCTGTTACAGCAACTCCCATTTGTGGAGTACTGAGTCAAAACTTTCTACCTAGTTTTGTACACAGTAACAGGCAGCTGGTGAAACCAGACAATGAAAGGATGTACTGGAGAGACAGAGGAAGGTGGAAAAGCTCACAAATCTCACTTTGCAAAGTCCTTCAGTTTTCTTTTTTTGTTTCGTTCTTCAGCTGCCGTTCTTCACATTCAGTAGTCATCATCCGGTTAAGGAGAAGCAGCGGAAACTTCCCATGCTCCTGAAAGGCAGTCGCTTCTGCCACGAACAAAGTCCTCGAAGGTGATGACAAGAGACTGGGCACTCACCAGCTTTCAGGGCTCTGGCACAGAGTAGCTCAGTCCCAGGCTTACTGCTTTCCCCAGCACAGGAGCTCAATATGCTGACAGACTATCACAGAGGACTGTCCAAAGAGGTTAGCTGGCGTGGTGACACCAGCCACAGCAGATTTTGTTGTCTCTTGTCTTTGAGAAGTGGGTTTTTTTGCTATCTCTCTTGGCGCACTCTGCAGAAATCTGTCACTTGTATTACAAGCAATGGTGCTGCTGAGATAGGGTGGTGATGCTTCTCTTGACACACCTCCAGCTGCCCAAATTTCTGGCAGACCTTCCCTTTAGACAGGTGCTGTGAAAACAAAAAAAACTTTTTGAGGAAAAAATCCCCCAGAAATAATCCCATCCTACAGCTGTTTTTCCCCTGCAACCAGTGGAACAAGCTGCAAAGCTATTGAAAAGATGTATTTGTGCTGCTGAGATTATCAGCTGGGGTGAAGCTATACATGTACCCGAGGCACTGGAAGGCCTCTGCCCTTGTGGCGCAGACTGAAAGTGCCTCTTCTGCAAATGCAAAAGGTGGCCTTTGGCTAACATCCCCCTCTCTTGTGAAGGGATGTCAATGTCACCTTTGGTTTATTTTAAGCTACTTCAGAGAACGAGATGCACAAAGCCCATCTGTGCTCAAGGGAAAACAGCTTCCTCAGGCAGTGGAGAGATCCCTCTGTGGACAACTGGAATTGCTCCAGCTCTGAATGTCTCTTCAGTGGAGCATCCTGCCCCGCTGACTGTAATGGGTGTCTGGAGAGGCCAACCCCACTGGGAGGAAGTTGCTCTTCTTCACAAACTGCCTTCTCTGTAGTTTCCAAAACCTTTTTCTCTGTAATAGCAAGGCTAGTCTCAGTAGGCTTTTGTTTTTGCAGTATTCAGGTTTTCTACCTCCCGTGAAACAATCCTACCTTCTTCACAAAGTAAAACATGTAGAAGCAGAAATGTATTTACGTCAGTATTGAAAAGCAAAGTGTTGTGGCAGTGTCCTGGGTCCATGGGTGCACCTCCACAGTGCCTTATTCCCCACCTACCACACACAACTCGCTTGAAAATCTCCAATGATCATTGAAAGGTTATCTCCAATGATCACTGAAAGTTTATCTCCAATGATCACTGAAGCATTAATTTCTGCAAGAGCCCATCTTTTGCCCCATGGTACTATCAGCTACTTCTAAATAATTTCTGTTAGATACGGGTTTCTTCTTTCTTTAAGAAAAAACAGAACAGCAAGAAATCTGGACAGATGGAGGCTTGGCAGCCTACCTAAACTCTTTGCCTCAGTGCTCAACTACCATTACCCTTAGTAACGCATTTTTTCCTAACATCTAGCTTAAATCTCCTCTGTTTAATCTTCTTGTGCCTTAAGTGCTGTGTCTGCTGGGTTAGGACAATAAATAACTTGTCACATCCTCCTTAAGGACTCTCTGAAAAGGGTTGCTATTGTGTCCTTAATCCTTCTCCAGCCTAAACAAACATAACCAATTCTTCATCAGACATCACATTCCCTAGATCGTTCTCATTTCTCTGGTATTGGTCCAAGTTGCCCTCAAATTGGGATGCCCAAAAGATACCGCCTTACACGCTTCTGCTGGCAGAAAACAGCCCTCAGAGGTGGGATAGTTTCTGATAGCAGCGAGCCACTGAAAGCTGCTGTCCCACCTCCTCTTCCACAAATTGTGTGGAGTCACGCCAAGGAAAAGATAGTGTCTGGAAGGCGAGTGTGTTTGTTTTGTTGTCAAGCCTTCAATATAGGATAAATATTTACTCTTATTTATGTCACAGTGGTTTTTCTATTTATGAGCTAAGTCCAGGGATCTAATCAAGTAGGGCCTGGTATAAGTAAGTCTGGAGAAGAAAAAGTAGGCCTTCCATGAACAGCTTGTGTTATGTTAATGCAGCTCACAGGAACAGAAGGAAAAAATGTGTATTTATCCTAAGGAGAAAGTCCATCCTCCTTTCTACATTATGCTCTACAGGAAACAGTATAATGTCTGTTGATGTTTAGCAAACACAGATGTTGGGGACCAGGCTGGGGTTTCGTGATGGGTCTGGAAAATAACTGACCATTAACTCAGTTTACATGACCAACAAAGAAGTTCTAGATTTTTTTTTTATTTAATTTAAGGGTTATTTTGCTTCTGCTTGATATTATGAATTGGGTACGTTCACAGCATCTGCTAAGGCAAACTATGCTTTCACTACTACAGTTTTGGTGGAACCACCACAGTATTTTCTGCCTGTTCTGCAGAGACAACCATGCAACAGTCATTTGCTTCAGTAGAAACTACTAAATGAGATATAAAATAGGCAGATATTTCATCCTCTCTGTACTCTGGCAAGTCCTCTGTGCTGAGTTTGTTTTTCCAAATTTGTCTTGGATTTTTTTTGCCCTGTTTTTATTCCCATCCCCAAATGATAAATGAATTTGTAAACCAGCTAGCCTGTAGTACTGCTTTCTTGTTCATAATAAATATGAACATGTTGGAGATCTAAATTGCCCCATTTTTTTCCTTTTTTTCCTCTCTCTAGGAAAGGAAAACACTTAGTACTTTTTAAATCGGGCATATATAGGCTCAGGTTGATAGACATGAAGAAAATTATGTTCCTATACACCAGCTAAAGACCTTTTAGGATTTAGTGCCTAAAAAGGCAGGGAGTAGCCATTTGATGGGCACTGACACTACATGAAGTGATAAATGGTCAGTGTTGTCCAGACTTGAAAATCGGCATTTAAAACAGATTTTCTAAGTTTGGCTCTGCCTGGCTTATAGCATAATCTCTTGATGGTAATGGTAGCTGCAGCACAGTTGTAGAAGAGGAGAGGAGGGTGGCTTCAGCCTCCACGCTCTGTGTCCTCTGCTGATCTGTCATGTCCTTTGGCCTGAACCGTGGAAGGAACTCTGGGGGACTGAGACTCTCAGGCTGCCTTTGACAATGCTTTCAGAGCTCAAAGAAAGGGCTGAGAGAAGTAGGGCTACTGCTTTACATGCTTGAGTTTGTAACATCCAGCAAGTCTAATCCAAAGATTTTGTGCTCAGCCTGAGTACTGAAGCTATGAAGTTAAGACACTCTTGACATATATACAGTAAGATATTTTTAATACTTACAGTTGAGTGCTCCTTTGTCTTCATTTGGTTGGACACCTGGTGAAACAAATGCATTGTTTTAAGCATGTAGGATAGACAACTACAGTGTTTATCCAAATGGGATTAATATTAAGTAACATCCACCAAAGTTGAAGGTTCAATGTGCTAAATGCTCTTTGTACAGCAAAATGCAGTTCATACTCTATTTGCTTAGAACCTAGGTGACCATTTCAGCAAGGCTAGATTTCTGGGTTTGAACCAAGAGTCCTACTCCATGTGTTGGGACCAAGTCCCGCATCGCTATTGGGTTGTTTCTGAAGGAAGGACATGGCTCCTAGTGCAGCTGCTGCATATACTGGGCAAGATCAATACCTTGCCTTCCTCCTGCTCTTTTCTGAAGCCCCTGAGCTTGCTAGCCAAGCACCTGAGCTTGCTAGCCTCAAGGAAGAGGGCATGGACTGAACAAGAGGTTCGTCTATGAAAATTGTGGTTGCCCCTGCTCCCTTTTTTTAGGTGCTCCTGTATACCTGCAAAGTGGCTTACAGAAGTACTCGGATACATCAGCAGGCTGAGTCTAGTTCAGAACATGCCTTCTGGAGCTACCTTTTGAAGAGTCCTGCACATGGGCAAATGCAGCGATGCAAGGGTATGCACAAATAATGTGGAGCAACAATGAGATGTGCTTTATTTCCAACTTGTAGAAATCTACTTGATCCCAGTGGGATCTTGAAGCCTTAATAGTCCAGCCAGTGACTCTAAAGCTGTCAGGGCTGATTTATCCTCTGATTTCTGCTTTAGCTTGTGCTAAGCTGAGTGAGCTACTGACCCCAGTCCTGGAGGAGCATCCCCTCCATCTGTCCAGAAATACCCTGCAGGGATTGCAGCTGGGAAACTATGGCCTGAAAAGGCACAAAGTGTGAGTTAGTCTCACATCCAGCAGTTAACTTCTGTGAGGCTCAGGCGTTTTAGCAGAAAACCATGGAGAATAACATGTCCTGGGGCAATGCATGTCCTCCCCAGGGCACCCTAGGTTTTTGATAACTGCATAATTTCCTGCTGCTGTGTGCAGGCAGCATACTCATACCTTCTAGCAACACACTGGATGACATGAAATATTTTGGCAAATGAAAAATTATTCTTCAGATTTGGTCATGCAAATTAAAGGCCTCATTACCTGCATAGGACACTAGTTTAGAGGACCTCCGTCTCCACAGCCAGCAGATTAAAACAGCTAGAAGACCTATCAGAATGATGACAGAAACTATGCCAGCTGCTTGAGCGCCTCGTCCATGTTTTCCCAGGTTTTTGTGATTTTCTGTGCTAGAACCATTGCTTTGCTTTTGCTGTGTGTCTAGAATAAGATAGAAAAAGGATGCAGTAAGGTGTAAAAGTTCACATTTCATGCCAGGCAAATATCTGACCCCATTTTATACACACACAAAGATTTATGAAGAACTAATAATTCTTTTCTGCCAGCCTTGGGAGACTGTATGCTTGAGGTTACATCTAGACTTAGTTGAAAATAAATCTATGCACAATCTGTAAGTAAATTTGATGGTATTCAGAAAAGTGAAACCCAGAAGAGGGTGAAAACATGTTTCCCTGAAGTCAGTAATCAATTTCCACTGATTGCTCCAAACTGAAGGTTTCAAATCACATCTCTTACTCTTTCAAGTATGGTAGTGCTTTTAGAAACAAAAACCAGTAAGATTAAGGTCTTTTCCCCCAGAACATAATATGACAAAACACTATTAGGAAACTAATGAGAAGATTACTTAAGTTTTCCTTTAATTTGGGATGACAGCAAGAGTGTTATCATGTTATCGTGCTCATGCGCACAATTTTTGTTCCTGGAAATAGTGTATATCACTTGGCTATGTCTGTGGGATCAGTGTCATTAAGTCCAGAGTATGTGATTCCTTGGCATGTTCAGGTAACCCAACTGTGGATATTCAGCTACAGTTACGGAAATGATCAAACCTCCTTGCACTAGTGTGCAGAAACCTGTGAGAGAAAAGGTGGGGTGGGAGGCAGGACCAGGAGCAGCAATGAGACTGAACAGCCACCTCCAGACAAGCTCTCCCACTCCATAGATAGTTTCTCACAGTTGTTTGGAAATTGTGAAAGCCACTGTTGGTACTATAGCTATAACTTTTTATATATTTGGGGTTTTTTAATAGCTTTCTGGTTTTGTGAATAGTTGAGTGATGAAATACTTGCTTTTACTCTTGATCACTTATACGAGCAATAAATAGCATATCATACTTACACTATTACATGTATTTTTCTATTGTGCTAATACTACCTGTTTGCTACAGACCTACTTTAAATAGTGCACTGTATTAAATTGAGTTTTGGAGAACTTTGAAACTAGGCAGAGTAAAAAACAGATGTGAATGCTGCAAAGCAGTTGGGTAGGGGTTCAGAAATTGTGGATTTGCTGTATGGTGTATTGCTGAAAAATAACTTGATTCCCCAAGTCACCATGTTCCCGAGAAACCAAAAGGTAAAGCCTTAGATGCAAGAACTTCTCAGTGCCATTGTCACAACACGCCCAATGGGGTGTTCACTTCTATGTGGAAGAAGTAAACATAAAGTCCATGGCTAAGCATGATGGGCTTAAAACAAAACCTGTGCTCTTCTCAGCACTTTTTGGAACTACTGAATTAGCCCTTGCTGATGCATAGCTACAGGCAGAGACACACTGGTTGATATTCCTATTATCTAGAAAATGTGAAGTAGCATGAAGGGACTTACAGTTGGCCGATAGATTTTCCCGCAGTATTTTATTTTCTATGGAGCACTCTATTTCCATGTTAGAGGTGGCTTTAACCTTTAGTGTACTAAAAACGCTGTAAGTGCCATCAGCGTGGGAGGTGATCTTTAGGTCTGATGAATTCAGGTGGCTGTTGTCTGTTTTATTTATCCAATAAACGTTGGGCTCTGGGTATCCATTGCCGGACCTGCAGCTGAAAGTCACCTCTTCCCCAGTGCTGTCACTGTTTGTCATCGGTCCACTGAGTATTGGTTGGCTATAGCTAGCTGGAGAGCAAGAGAAAAAGAAATAGTTATTGACATGTTGAAATGTATTGAGGAGACAAAATTTTGATGTGGGTTCTGAAGCAGAACTTCTGGGTTTCACACGACTGTCATGACTTGAAAGGAAAACACCTGCAGGTTTGGTATGTGAGCCAGAGAGCTGAGAGAATTACTGGAAGGCCAGAAAGCTGGAGCCAAACCCAAAGGAAGAAAGCAACTTCTTAAGATGCTGTCACCCAGTCACGTGCAAGAGCCCTTATATTAATGAAAACGAAGAAGAAGGAAAAAATCACACTGGATAAATAGCTGTTACGGGTATTCTCCCAGTTTTAGATTTCTTGTCTGTAACATTTAAATTATACAGACTTCATTTCAGCAAAGGGCTGAAGTATATTACAAAGTTAAGGGTATGCTTAAATGTAATATTGAAATGGCATGAATTTGAAAAGCTGGATTGAGAATTTGGGCAAATAGGTGCAAGTGATACAAGTTCTTACCTGCTAAACTGAGAACCACTTCTGCCTGGTGAATCACCTTGGTATATTCAGTTTTCTGCAGTACTACACATTTGTATCTACGTTCATCACTCTGGCTGACGTTTAGTAGCAACAGAGAAAAATCACCACTTTCCAACCTGTCCCAGAATAACTGAGTCCTGTTTTTAAAGTGAATACACTGTTCACTTTCATTGTCTTGACCAGAGATCAGTGCATGTACAACTGAACACTCCTCTTGATCATCAGCTATTTGCCAATATACCCGCAGATTTTTTAAGTGCAATTGGCTTCCTCGATAAATGCAACTCAGCGTAGCGTTGTCTCCAAGTTTACTGACAATGATCTTCTCCTCCAGTGCAATAACTACAAGATTAAAAGAGAGATAAAAAAGGAAAGTTATGTGAAAAAATGTCATTCTTTTCCAGTATATTCTACCACAGGTGGACTCCAGTATTAGTATTTACAACAGGCAGGTGACTGTGCTCTCTTCATAGCCATTCCTACCTCCTGACTTGCTGGTGGCTAATTCGCTCCGTGTCTGTCTATACATTTTCCAAAGGGACCTTTTACAACATAAAGCCTTCTGCTTAGTTTTTTCTGAGGACCAACCAGTCTAAGCATTCCCAGACCCATAGACAGCTGCATGTTTCACTTTGCCGACTGACTGTAGACACATTCAAGTCCTGATAATAATCACTTTTTTTTTTCCAATTCAGACATGCCAGATAACACCAGGTAAATCACAGGACATGGAAACACTGAAGAAAAAGAGTGCTACCATTATTTTGATACCCCAAAAAAATAAAAAGGGGAGTAAAACCAGTGTTTCTCAAAGTGGGCATGTCATAATAATCACATTTTATTGTTACTATTCGTGTCACCCTCTCAACAAATATACTCAGCTTGCAAAACAGCATGCCCAGATACCTCCAGTGACTTATTAATTAGACATTTATGACCTCTCACAGCCACTTGAGGTAGCCTAGCACAGTACCTGGCTTTCAGGGCACTTTTCCTGGCCTTTAGACACAGGGAAGTCAACCTCTTCTCCTGGTGAGCAATGAGAAGGCATGAGCTGGCTCACAAGCAATGCAGAAGGCACAGGTCAGCTACTCCGAGAGGACCAGAGGTTTTCCTGGCCACAGCCTCCCTGCTGAGGAGTGCATCACCTCTCCTCCACCTCAGAAGCCGAAATCTCTCTGGTGTAACTGATTGTTGAGACCAAAGCAGTGTGCACAGTGTAAATGTGAGACTGGGAGGTGAGGGGGGATCAGGCATAGGGTTGGATGGGAGAAGTTACAGCTGGGGGAAAGGATTATGCGGTTGGGTGAATTAGGGGAAGAAAGATGACAGGAGTGAGGTTTGGAAATGAGGAACCAGAGCATGGTGAGGTGGGA